GGCAAATAATTGCCCGGACCCTACCGCCAGGGCCCCTGGCGGTATGGTTAGACAGCCTACCACCAGGGCCCCTGGCGGTAGGTTGCAACGGAGGGGGACGGCGCCGTCTCCGCGGGCTGACGTGGATAAGTTTTCTACCGCCATGGGCCGTGGCGGTAGGCTATCTAACCCTACCGCCAGAGGCCCTGGCGGTAGGAAAAAGGGTCAAATCGCGAAAAAATTTCAAACAGGGGTCAGATCCTGAAATTCTTTCAAAAAGGGTCAAAACACGAAATTCGGCCGCAGACGGCTATGGCACAGCACAGTGGCAGCTGGAGTGCTGGATGGATCCATGGAAGATCGGGCGGTGCGTCACTTTGGCGGATAAACAAAACGGCACGAGAAGCTGGCGTTGATAGGAAACCCCGATCCGTTCGTCATCTGATCTCTGATGATAGGTAGTAGCAGACAGAGACGCAGCCCCTCCGTGAAAGCAACCGCTCTACGTACGTCTGTACCCAGCCAGGTGTCTGCGTCTCCCATCTGAACTAACGATCTCAAGACAAGGAAATCACGTAGCTGTATAGTACAAAAATTGTGAAAGGGCAGAAACAATTAGAGGGAGACCAACACCTGGCTAGCAACCGATCCATATACTTGCATATGCAAATGCAACGCAAGGGAGCCCAACCGATCTAATTCTAAAACTGCACTACTGATATTTTTGTCCAGGCAGACAGGTCACAGGAGGAGAGGCTGCCCCGGCTCGAGCGAGCGCGAGGCGACAGGCAGAGAGACAGGATGCCGACCGGTGCGACCTGTATCCATGCCTTTTGCGGTGCCTGCGGGGGGCACAGACAGCAAGCCAACAAGAGAGTGAGAGAGAGAGATACCCCAAATCCATACGCCCTTCCCTGCGCCGCGCCACCCTCCCATATCCCCATGTCAGCCTGCCCTTGCGCCCCTCGCCCCCCAAAACGCCTGGCCAAGAAAATAATTCAGGGCACAAGGAAGGCAGGGCAGGCAAAAAGGCTCTAGTACGTGCATTTGTTTTCCGTCAAAGTTCGTGTGTGCTCCATGTTTTTGGGATACTACTTTTGTTCACGTTAATCAAATCGTACACCTTGCACGACGTCCCTTTTCCTTTGTTGCTAGCCATGTTTCGACCGTGTCCCATCCACACTTGTGATCCCGAAAAGGATCATGGGAACACAACCATGATGCTTATTAACAAAAGATGTGGTGGAAAAGTTACTCAACTTTGACGACTTATCACTACCAGCATCATAACCACTCGAAATTAACCGTCCAAGCTGTTGACCTTGACCCGGCTCTCAACCGGTGTTTACATAGCCGGCGTCGATCAAAGCATCTATAGCCGGATGCCTCAAACCCCCTATACGCCCGGACGGATGTCCTGATCAGTGACCGGTCAAGAAGAGCTGACTTGGACGGACGCCTCAAAGGGGCTCAAACACTCGGGCTGACCGACACCCTTCACATCAAACCCAAATGTAGGGTTGATATGAGGATGAGTGGACGCGTCCGCCATGTCAAACCCGACAGACCTACCCCATCATAAATTGCACCAAATTCATCCTCTCAACTTATCAGATTAATTTGGTCTCTCCTCTCTTCTTCCTTCTCCTCCGCGCCGGACGTCTCTCAGCTCCATCGCCACCCTGGCTACTAGTACTGCAAAAGATGCGGTGGAAAAGCTACTCACCTTTGACGACTTATCACCACTAGCATCATTACCACACGAAATTAACCGTCCAAGCTGTTGACCTTGACCGTGTCAATCGTACAATGTTGTTCCATTCGGTCCTAACCATGTTTCCACAACCAGCCGGCGGCCACGAGTGTGGAAACTAATGTGGTTTTCGCTTACTCCTTGACCTTGACCGTGTTTTCGGAATCTGGTTGTGATGAGTGGTGCATGCTTTGTGTTTTCTTTCTTTCTTTTCATTTCTTGTGCCTTTTCCGGAGCGACCAAACTTTGCGCGTAGTACGTGATGGAGTTTCTTCACCGCCTGCGTCAACTTCGCGACGTGGTGGAGTTTTTTCACTGCCTCCGTCGTCGATTTCGCATGACACCACCACCAAAAACCACCCGAGTGGTCGATGAGGCAGGCAGGCATTGACCGCTGTTAATCCACACCCCGTTTAGCTTTAACCTCCATCAGGCCATACGCTCACGCACACCTGGATTTGCAACTAAACAAAGCACGCCTTAATAAGTTAATCAGGTCAGCACCCGGCAGCCAATGGTGCAATCGCCCGAAATTCTTCTCCCGCCGCCGCCCACCACCAGCTAGCTGCCCGCGTATATAAGCCTCGGGACCGGCGCCGCACATTCGCCGTCGTCGTCGTCCTGGCGCTCGCCGATCGAGGCCAGCAGGTAGATAGACATCCGCTACGCGGGCGCGCTCGTCAGGGAGCAGCTAGCAGGTAGCCGCCGCCATGTGGCCGTCGTCCTGGTTCTGCTCGTGGCCGTGGGGGTGGGGCGCCGCCGTGCTGGTGGGCGCGGCGTGCCTGTGCGCGCACGCGGCGGCGGAGGCGCTGTGGCTGCGGCCCCGGCGCCTGGAGCGGCACTTCGCCCGGCAGGGCGTGCGCGGCCCCGGGTACAGCTTCTTCGTGGGCAGCTCCATCGAGCTGGTGAGGCTGATGCTGGACGCGTCGTCCCGCCCCATGGCGCCGCCGGACTCCCACGACGTCCTCCCCCGGGTCCTCGCCTTCTACCACCATTGGAGGAAGCTCTACGGTAAGCAAAGCATACACATACGCATATGACAAGCTCTCTTCTTCTTCTTCTTCCAATTTCTCTCTCGATCAATTCCCAACGTCTCTACCACCTGGCTCAGTTCATGCATCGATCGAATTTGTTTTTGCCTAGTTCCATCGCCGCATGCAATTGATCAAATATTTTTAAGGAAAAGCGCGTGCATTTGCGATTAAAATTCTGCATATAGGAGGAAATAAACAAAGATTAGACGACGAGACAGCGTGACGCGTGAAGCCGGCCGGAGGAAAGGAGGGGACATGCTTCCATGCTTTTGCAAGTAGGAACAAGAACTGAGGATTTTTAAAAACCATGGTGCCTCCCTCGCTTGGTTAGGTGACCCCCTCCATTTTACCTTTTTTGACGTAGTAGTATGTACGTACTACATATATAAATATACACTACTTGCTTCATTCGCTTTTGTAAATCTTAAAGGATAAAAAATTAAAAAGCACCAGCAAAATCAGCTCCTTTTCTAAAAAAAAACCCAGCAAAATCAGCAATTCACTGCATGCAATAAGCTAGGCTAGCCTCCGTCGCAGGTCAAACCTGGTGAGATGTTGGCCATGATCCGCCGATCGTTCCACCAGGCTGTCGACGCGCGATAATGCGACTAGATTAAGCAAGCGGCGAACAGCCTTGCGGCGAGGAGAGTCGCAGATCGATCCATGGCCACATGCGCGCTAGCTTAATCTGTGCTTAAGTCGTCGTCGGTTGATGCTGCGTATGAGCAGCATGAGCAGCGCATTGCCAGCCAGAGCATGCGGCATATATCGGTTGATTCAGGATCCAAGTTTTGATTCCGGCAGTTTGCTCTGATTAGTTTAAATCTTGCGGCGCGCGGCACGGCTGCCGACGATAATCCCCTCTCGTTTTCAACGGCTGTGGTGGTGATTAGTTAGTGTCATTAGTTTGGGTGTGGAATCTTGTTGCTGATCGATCATGAGGAGATCACAAGCACGGCATGAATATGTAAATCTGCACAGTAATTCCCCCCTGCCTCGATCTCAACCGTCAAATTCAGATCGAACGGTTGAACGTGTGCGACAGACATAATTCTGACGACTGACCCGCGCTAGCAGTTCAGAGTTCAGACAGCAATTTTTTTTTGTCAGACAACATGTTTGGCTGAATTTGTGCGTGTTGTTTGGCAGGTCCGAAGCATCTGATCTGGTTCGGGACCAAGGCGAGGCTGACGATCAGCGCGCCGGAGCTGGTCCGGGAGGTGCTGCTGACGCGGGCGGAGCACTTCGACAGGTACGAGGCGCACCCGCTCATCTGCCAGTTCGAGGGCTACGGCCTCGGCAACCTCCGGGGCGACCACTGGGCGCGCCACCGCCGCGTCCTCTCCCCGGCGTTCCACACCGAGAACCTCAAGCTGCTCGTGCCCTTCATCGCCGCCACCATGCGCCGGATGCTCGACGAGCTCGCGGCGAAGGCCGCCGGCACTGGCGCCGGCGAGGCGGAGGTGGACGTGGCCGAGTGGTTCCAGCGCGTGCCGCAGGAGGTGATCACCTTCGCCACCTTCGGGCGCCGGAACTACGAGGACGGCAGGGTGGTGTTCGAGCTCCAGGACGAGCTCGCCGGCCTCGCCGCCGACGCGCACAGCAAGGTGTACATCCCCGGGTACCGCTTCCTGCCGCTGAGGAGGAACCTGCGCGTGTGGCACCTGGTCAGGGAGATCAGGAAGGGCCTGGCCGCCTTCATCGCCAACCTGCCCAAGGATGGTCACGACGACGAGCAGCGGCGGGACGGCGGCGGCGGCGGCATGAGGGACCTGATGAGCTTCATGACGCCGGCCATGACGACGGAGGAGATCATCGAGGAGAGCAAGAACTTCTTCTTCGCCGGGAAGGAGACGCTCGTCAGCCTCCTCACCTGGGCCACCGTCGCCCTCGCCATGCACCCGGAGTGGCAGGACCGCGCCCGCCAGGAGGTCCTCGCCGTCGTCGGCCGCGACGACCTCCCCACCAAAGACCACCTCCCCAAGCTCAAAACCGTACGCACCGTGCACTCTCGCTCCCATGCACGAGAGCAGCTTCCATGTTTCCAGCTAATTAATGGCGATGTGCTATGTATGCATGCAGGTGGGGATGATCGTGAACGAGACGCTGAGGCTGTACCCGCCGGCGGTGGCGATGATCCGGACGGCGAACCGGGACGTGGAGCTGGGCGGGTGCGTGGTGCCGGCGGGCACGGAGCTCCTCATCCCGATCCTGGCGGTGCACCACGACGAGGAGCACTGGGGCGCCGACGCGGCAGAGTTCAACCCGGCGCGCTTCGGCGACGACCGGCGGCTGCGGCACCAGATGGCGTTCATGCCGTTCGGCGGCGGCGAGCGGGTGTGCATCGGGCAGAACCTGGCGCTGATCGAGGCCAAGGTGGCGCTGGCCGTCGTGCTGCAGCGGTTCGCCTTCCGCCTGTCGCCGGCGTACGTGCACGCGCCCAGGGTGCTCATGATACTCAACCCGCAGTACGGCGCGCCGGTCATCTTCCGGCCGCTGTGATCACGACCGGCCAACGCCGGCCGGCCATCCATCCCCAATGTCAATGTTAGTCGGATTCAATTAATTCCTTTCTGTATATTACCACCGTCTCATCTGTCAAGTGAAAATGTATAAAGTTATAGTACCATACGTACGCAACAAGTGCCAGATTACAAAGAAGAGAAGCATATGTAGCTGTTCATTGTCAGTTTTGCCACATTTACTTTTTTCGCTTAATCCTCCTGAATCTCATACCAGCGATGTAAACCTGTAAGTATTCGCAAACATGAAAACAACAAAATATACAAAAATGGTAGGCTTCATGTCGTCCCCCAAATTAATCGTACCAGGTGCGGCGCACTCTCACATCTTCAGGATGACCAACAAATTGCAGTATATATATCGAATCTGGTTCGGCAGATTTGTTTGAACCATATATGCATGCAGCAATGCTTCATGTTCTTGTGAAATGACAAGCTGTTTCTGTAAATATGATAAAACACTAGACAATTCTATACAGGGTAGCACATTACACAGGAAGAAATGGATTGCCTTTCTCGAACACTGTTTTTTTTTTCAAAGGGTAATTTTGAATTTCTTGAGGGTCTATAATGACAAGCGCACGAGCTTCTCGATTTCCTTGATAATTAAGTCTCGCTCCTCGTCAAGTTGTTCATCTTCACCTAGTAAGAGGAATGCACTACAAGTGTCACACTCTGCATACATCTCCCACAATCTAAAAAGGAATCCTCCTGAACACTACAGTCACAGCTTTTATGTTTGGTTGCTCCATTATCACTCGCATCAATTGCTTAGTCAGAGCACAAAATCTGATAATCCAGTAGGGTTAAGCTGGAAGTAGAGAATTACCTTTGCTTGCAGGAAGAGCATGGAGTAACTTCAATAATTCTTTGTGGTTGTCTACCAAAACTTGAATTATATCACGAGGCTTGTTTGGATTGGCAACAAATACCTAATTCCATGCAGCAAAAATGAACCGCCGATAAGGTAAATAGATGTGCTCATAATGTCATATTTGACCAACCATAACTACTTGCAGAATTATCAAAATCAAACAAGTGCAAAGGTTGGAAAGAGATAAAGGAATACCTTAAAAATGTGAAAGGAACATATCCTGATATTTTTGCTTGAATCCTACAAGTGATTCAGTATAGTGGAGGTATTAAGAAGGGATAGGCATAACCAAAAAAATGCTGGTTAGCTGTGAAGCTCGAAGGAAACCTATAACTGCTTCCCAGCTTTCATCTAGCATATTGACCGTGTCTATTCAAACATTTCTATATCAAGCCTGACACTCAAACAGTACACAATTTGTTGCAGGAAACATAATTGTCAGTTATATTATATCACCTTTCTATCAGCTAGACTGTAAATAATTATGCCATGTGTCATAGTTACAAACAGAACAGCATTCAGCTCTGGACCAGTAGTAGCCAAAACTTTAAATATCATGGTGGCTGGCCAGCCAGTAATACAAAAGCAGTGTTTCTCATTTCTCATACTAGTACCACCATCCTCCATTGTTAAAAGCAAGATGAGCAGAATATAGGAAGTGAGAACGATAATAAGTGCATGGATGATTACTGAATGTAGAAGCAGGAAATATATAATATAACTGACAATTTAATACCTTTAGTAGGCCCATCATAATGATCAAGTAACGAACTTCCAAAATGTACCGCTTCATTATCTGAGCATTTGGGGCCTCCAACAGAAATTCTGAAAGAAACTGACATACAGTAACACACTTTTATGTTTCCTTTCTCAGCGTGCAACAAAAAATGTTAATAGAGTAACCAAAAATAGGCTAACCTTCACTGATTGTCTTCTTGTCACATAATTATCTGAAGTTAAAAGCCTTTTGTAGAGTTCAAAGAACTGCACATATTTACATAATCAACGTGACACGAAATGTTGATCAGTCAATTCAAAACATATTTATTTTGTTAACATGAACATGGTGGAATTCACTCATTTCGCAAAAAGTATATTTTTCTCTCACATCTACCTGTTCATAATGGGAAATGAGAAACTCGGAGACTGCATCTTCATGTCTAGTGAGCAAATCCTGCAAAAAATCATGTCAATTACACATAGCAACAGTGAAGAACCAAGCATAAAGCCCAATCACAGTCTAACATAAATACCAAATTAACAATTTGGATTTACCTTGAAGGTATTCAGAGCATCAGAAGCAATATCAAAGTTTGGCAATTCAACATACTGGAAAAACAACTCGAAGCTATTTGACTCCAATATATATCTGAAAGAGCACTACAAAATCAAAATGCATGTAAAATTAATCAACTATGTAATTAGTTAAATCATTTCTCTGTACGTTGCTTCAGGCAACCATCTCATAGCTCACGAACAAAGCCAACTGCTCATACATACATTTAGAAGGTAAACTGAAGGAAACACTGTTTCAAATTCAACAGCATCACAATGCTTGTCAAACCAGGATTAGTTTAGTGGGGAGTCAACTTAGGAAGAAGAACTAACTTCTGCAGGAAAAAAAAAACTTTCCATGGGTGACTGTGACTGTATGTGAAATCAATGAATTATTTTACTGTATCTGGCACTATGTACGATTACAGAGTTTCTATGGAGAAAAAATCGAAATATACTCAATACATATTTTCTTCCAAGGCACACATGCCGGACACCATATGTTAAAGCAAGTCGTTATTAGCCCATAATAACGACTAAGAAATAGAAAATATAGTTTAATGGAGACTTTGAAGCCTTACTTTGCAAGTGAGGGATATTTTATGCATTCTCGCAACATGTTTCCACAGTTCAATGCGACTTCCAAGTTCTTGTAGCTAGCACAACATAGTTAATCAATCAAACACAAAAATATCACAATTGCATATATTGTATACATGAACCATAAACAAATACCAAAAAATTGAAGTATAGGTGGGGAAATATATTGAAAATGCTCCAACTCAACAACCGAAGTAACCAGTGGGTAGTGACTAGCAGAAGTTCATGGCCAAACATAACAATCATACAAGTTCATGGCCAAACATAACAACCGATGGAACATTAAGCAGTTGGCTACAGGTAGGGATGAAAATGGAGCAGAAACTTTCCACATTTTCTGTGGAAAAGGAAACAGAGGAAATGCAGAAACAGAAACGAAATATTGTGAAACGGGAGTGAAAACGGATTTCTTTTTTACACGGAAACAGAAACGGAATGTCATTTTCCAGCGGAATAGTTGTGGAAACAATTCTGTTTCCATAAATACAGAACTTTCCATCTTTGCCATGGTTGCTACGTGGCCTAGTACAGCACGAGATGAAGCCCATGTTGTGGCCCAACAACCAGAATGCTAATACCTAGCCTAATCTCCTACACTTCACAATTCCTAATTGGGCACGCGAGCACGCCACCGCCGCTGCGGTGCCATGCACTCATCCCCAGCTGGCCAGCCCACACACCACCGCCGAAAGCCATCCACCCATCGCTGCAGTGCGCAGGAACCTCTACGTCGGTGCAGCTGGTTTAGGAATTAGGCCATGGGCTTACGAGATTGTCGAAAGACATTGTAGTCATATCAATTAAACAGGTATGTTTGTTTACTTGTGTTTTTCTATGGTTCAAGAGGTCGCTTAGTTTCAGTGGACATCCGCTTTCGTAACCGTGTCTGCACAATATTCGCTCTGCATTTATTTCCGGTAGTATACTTACTTACTTACGAAGCCTTTTATCCCAAAAAAGTTGGGGTAGGCAAGATATGAAACCCTTTCACGAGGACTTCCCAGGAGGTCACCTATCCTAGTACTACTCTCGCCCAAATGGGTTTCACACCCAAAAGACTGACTAGTTTTTACGTTGGCTCGCCAAGCCTATCACAACCCTTAGATATGAAACCCTTTCACGAGGACTTCCCAGGAGGTCACCCATCCTAGCACTACTCTCGCTCAAATGGGTTGTATCCCCGGGAAATGTGGCAGTATCAGTTTGGTATTTGTTTCCGGGGTTTATGTATTCATTTTAGCTTCACAGAAAAAATGTGGCAGCACTCAGTTATGTCTGTTTCCGCTCCGTTTTCATCCCTACTTATAGGCAGCAGATAGATAGCTTCCACATGGTAGCATGATCGGATTACTACTAATAAACCAATCAACATGTACAAAGTGTGTCAATAACTCGACAATAGGCCTTACCATACAACAAGGAAATCTAGAAGATCAACATGATTTTCGATATACTGCACGCAGCAGTGACTTTCATCAACCTTCTGCCTTAACAAAATGCACCAGCAGTGGGCAAGATCCTTTCTACCCTGTAATGTGAAAGTAATAAGTCTAATACGCTTAGCAAAAAATGACATCACATTCAATTGATGAATACAATACCTCCCAACCCAGCGAAGGTAGGTTCTGAACAAAAAGAGAAAGGACACCCTCCTTGCAAATTTCAAGGGCTATCTGTAAGACATGATCCTGGTTTGGTTCAACTTCTCCATCACCAGAAAGTGTCTGCCTCAATGTAAATATGTTTTTCTCAACATCTTCGAGGGCCTGATAAAGGAAGCGACAAGGCATAGTATATGAGCAACCAGTGGTCTGTATCCATGGTCTAATGTGTGTTAAATACTTGTACAAATAGACACACGACAGCCACGAAACAACAAAAACAATACATAGTAACAAAAAAAAATCACTCCCATGATTATATGCAGGCTCCAAATGTGCCTCACAATTGCAGCCGACCTGTATACAGACACTGTTATAAAGCATTAACAGGAAATGCATGTTTGGAGGTACAAGTAATGCAACTCCTGTAATTCTTACACTTACAAACCAGATGCTAATTTGTAAACAAAGCCAATTCTAGCATAACCTTTTATTAGATGCACGGCGTAACGCTTTTAACGGATATATAAAAGAAAACATCCTTTTGTTAGAAGGAAAAAAGAAGTGATGCAGTGAGCCATTCCCTTATCAGGTGGAACCAGACTCGAGGATAAGCTAGTTCTTGAATTA